TAACTCCCCTACCCATTTTTCTCCAATCTAACTCGGTAGTAGTATAACAAGATGAAGGCCAGAGCGACTTTGCGGTTATGGTTAAGTTGTTCTTCATCCATTCTACAAAATGTGGTAAATGATATTTTTTTAAACATGTTAAACGTTAAGTTGAAGTAATAGGAAAGATACTATATTAAGAGTAAAAAACCAATACATAAACATAAAATCTAATGACGCAAACAATCACATAAAGTCAAAGGAAGACATAGAAGTAAATAATCCATCACATAATTATTACAATGACCGATACTAAAATAAAACCAAATGTCAACCCTAGTCAATCATTCATAAAAGATCGCAAGTAAGCAAGTCAAAATTATGAGTTCAAATTCGTAAAGAATTGTCTGCGAGTGGAGTTCCCTAGCAACTTCACATATTTTAAATACATGGGTTCGTCTTCCTTAACACCGGGATATGTATTTAGGATTTTAAGGCACTCCTAAATTGAGCAGTTGTTTGTTGTTGGTGTTGGTGGTGCAATCTTTGGTTTGCAGGATTCAAGTAGCGTCTCTATGGAACCTCTGACAAATGCGGCTCCCACTTTCTTCTTTTCTGCTCTGGGACGCTTTGTCCCACCGGTTGATTGAACATCTATATGCAGTTGGTTGGGACCTTCCCTAGACTCACCTATGTGCTCGATTTCCATGTCATGTGTTAACCCAACAAAGCTCTAGTCAGTCGGGGTGAAAGCATGAGTTCTGGTAGCGACAACACCTATGAACATGTCATCCAACTTTTCCTCTAATACTGGATCAATGCTGCTAATTTTAAATTTTTTGACTGTCGGCACTACCTGTAATAGAAAAGATAAATTATTTGTAAAAATCTTTAGAAAGTCGCAATCAATGCAAAAAAGCAAATATATGTATGTATTTACCTCTAACTTCTCAGCCCACCATTCATCTGGTGCATCTATTGTCCGCTTAAGTGGATCCTAACCCAATTCTGTTGATCTTTTTTGAGTTCTTTCCAAAATTTTCAGTCTTTTTTTAATTGATCTCATTTGTTTTTTAGTTTTATCCGATTGTAATCTCTTCCGGTCAGTTCCTTGAATTTAATCATTAGATTCTGCCAACCTACTTTATTGAAATAGGTGATCGGCCTATTACCCAACTTGACTTCCCTTACACAGAGATCACAAAATGTCAGGGTGGTCTCTTTATCCCACATGGCCGATGATCCAGATTCTGTAGGTTTACTCATTTTGACTGTGAGATAAACAAGCTGACATGAAATTAATGGCGTTCAAGAGAAAAACCGTATATGCAATGACATTTTTGTGGAAGGGAAAGCATAATAATTTTTGTGAAATGAGCCATTTGAACACAAATTATACAATAACAAAAATGTAATAGTGATTCATGTCGTTATCTAATTTTTGTGGCAGAGAAAAAATGTAAGGAGGATTGATAATCACTCCTGTATTATCTCTACATTTCTTTCAAATATTAAAATTGCAATTCATACTTCTAACTGGAAAAGAGAAAAATATTGGGAAAATATATTAAAGACATACTTCTAACCGAGCAAATAGATCTTGTATAATTAAAAACTGCATATAGGGTTGGTAAAACTGCATAAAGATCTTGTATATAATTCTTTAAATTGAGCAAATGATAAAGATTGCATATAGATCTTGCCATATGAGACTGCATATAGATCGACATAAAAACTGCATATAGATCTTGCCATATCAGATATGGATGATGTTTCAAATTTTTAATAGCCACAGTAAGAAACTGAAATCCCCCACCAAACAAAAAATAATAAGTTAAAATCAAAGCTCAAGCATATGAAACATAATCCAACTGTAACATGAAAAGATCAGCGTTGGATCTATATTCCAGAAATATAACAGAGGAAGAAAGAGAGCAAAAACCATTGCAAACAGTGAAATCACAATCTTGATTCTTCATATATTTTAAAAAAAAGTGGATCTAGATTTTCACTATAAATACTCATCTCCCAACAACTGGATCTAGGCTTTTAGCCACTAAACACCTCCACATTCACTGAAAATTTCAACAGATGGATCGTCCAAAGCTTTCTATTTGAGTGAGGGAGAGGAGGAAGGAAAATAGATCCTTACCTGTCGAACGAATTCATGCATAGATGCAGGAGATACGCCTTCGAACGAAAGAGGAAAGTAGGGATGCAGAATGATTTCTGAAGGTAACAAAATAAAAGCTTGGAGGCCGAACGCAGATCGACATGTAATGTAAAATAGCAAACGAGATTTTCATAAAAGGTGAGGCGGGCCGCACTTGCTGCCAAATGGGCCCTAAGAATGACATCATCACAACCGAGAACAAGACACCAGATTTCTCCTCCTTTCGCTCTAAGGTAATTTCACATCTTTCTTAGCAGGCGGGACTCGTAAATGCGGGATTTACGGCCGTTGGTGGCCGAAATCCGTGAAAGCAGGATTTATCAAATTCGTGGCTTTATTTTGTCCAAACTGACCGCCGGACCTTGGGGCAGCTGTTGATTATTTATAATCTGTTGATTAACAGATTATTCTGATAATTTGATAATCTACAGATTATCAGAATAATCTGGCTTGCTGTTTGGGGCAGCTTATTTAGACTAGCTTATTGGTGGTTAAATGACATTCATGCCCCTGTCTGATAAAACTGTTTGGAGCAGCTTATTCAAAATAGCTTATTGATAGAATAAAAACATATAGTGCAGAAACATACGATAATCACATATCAGTTCTAAAAGATACAATACAGTTCTCACATCCTAATCAGTACTAGGAGAACTAAAAAAAATACAAATACAAGTACGACAACAAGGAGAAATATTAAAATATTTAACTTCAGACTCTGGCTACGCCGGTCATCATCTGCACTATCAGCCTGAGGAAACATTGGATTCACATGACTGCAGGCATGACTACTGTCAGTGTAATATGAGAGACTATCAGCCCACCGGAAGAAACCGCAACGAGCTGAAACACCCCTGACACAACCATAGAACTGCCTCCCAAAGCTATGCTCCTTACACGTTAGCAACGGAGACGGTAGTCCACAATAACACAAAATCCCTCTATCTGTACCTGATATCCTGGAAGTCATGTTGGTATAACTGCGAAAATAACAAAAGAATCAAATGTCAGCTTAAGGTATTTTAAAAATAACCAAAACTAAATGCATATGAATATAAACCTATAATCTTATTAAAGGAAAACTTGGTAGATCAACAACCACAAATAGCATCTGTGATAGACTCCCTTAAAGCAATCATATCAGCCAAACATTCACCTTCCTGATCTCCAAATTCACTCGATTCTATATCATCCTCAGGTAATGAATGCCCCCTCACAAGTCCTGTATGTTGCTCGAAGACATTCAGTTCATCATTGTCAGCCATAATGAAGTCTGTATCTGATCGTGACGAATGTCTTCGGATGAAGTTATGTAGTGTCATTGTTGCAACCACAATATGCACCTGCTTTTGGAAAGGATACGACGGCATATCACGTAAGATGACCCACTTTTTATTCTAAACTCCAAATGTTCTTTCAATTACCCCGTGTAAAGATGAGTGACGTTTATTAAACATTTCCTTTCTGCCACGTACTGTGCCACTACCTCGCTCGAAATCAGGAATATGATATCTTGTGTCAGGGTAGGGCTTCAGGTATCCCCTTTGCATAGGATATCCTGCATCGACCATATAATATTTTCCTGGTACGAAAAATAATGTTAATAAAAACATTACATTCTAACATATACAAATTGGAAAATAAAACTAATCTGCTGGGGGTGAGGGAAACACTGCGATCTATTCCTAGTAGCAAAGGAGAAAATACGACTGTCATGTGCACTCCCTTCCCAGCCCGCCACCACGAAAGTAAAACACATGTTGAAGTCACAGACATCTATGACATTTTGCGTTGTTAAACCAGTCCGACCCATGTATGCTACATTCTCGTGGTTGGGTATTCGAGCATCAACGTGGGTACCGTCAATTGCACCAATACAGTTTTGTTTAATTGGCCGTTAGAGAGTAATAATATTGTTAAAATATAGAATGTAATAAATTAAAAACACTGATAGTTACCTTGAAATATGACATGTATCGAGGATCGTTGGCAATTCAAGTTATTTACCTTCTCGTGGTTGGGTATTCGAGCATCAGCGTGGGTATCGTCAATTGCACCAATACAGTTCTGTTTAATTGGCCGTTAGAAAATAATAATATTGTTAAAATATAGAATGTAATAAATTAAAAACACTGATAGTTACCTTGAAATATGACATGTATCGATGATCTTTTAAATAACTTGAATAGAAACGGGAACAACCAAAATCTATGCTCGAAATGTAAAGCCCTCAACAAAATCTAAAACGATTTACACAGAAACATCCTGCAACTCCGGAAAAATTAAAAAACCCCAAAACCTCATTATAGTGTACAGAAACTATTTGCACAGAAACAGTTTTCACGAGAACGATCCTTAGAAACTATTTCCACATAAACGATTTGCACAGGAAATCAAAACTTGCACCTAGAAATAACCAATTCCTTGCTCTACAATGCATTCCCAAATAGTCCAGGAAGTATATTCTCAAAACCAAAATACAGATCGATCTCGAGAAAAAAAAAGAACAGTCTCCAATCAATGATCGGAAGGAGAAGATCGAGGAAAACCTAACCAGAAAGCATATCAGATCTCAACGAAAGTAACCAACGGGAGGTGATGTTTGCGAGGGAGAAGATTTGTGAGGGAGAAGGCAAGGGCACGAGAGGAATTCACGACCTAAAATCCAGCTTCAAACCCTTCGCAGCGATCCACAGTCTGTAATAAAATAACAACGACCGTCGCGGCGTTCCAGAACTCCGTCCCAACTTGTTATCCCTCCCCACGGCCCCAATTTAAATCCAGTTTAAATCCTGCTCTAAATTGTCTGGTTGATTGACAGGATTTAGGTTTGTCTGGTTGATTGACAGGATTTAGGTTAAGTTGTTCTTAAATCCTGCTCAAAGCCTACTACGAACCAGTAGTTTGCCTTATCCCACAAATCTCCGGTCCGCCTCCCGACAAGAAGCTAGGAAGTCGTAATGGGAGTTTGCTGGAGAAGGTGCAACGGGCTCCTGCCGGAGAGGACGTCAACAGCAGTAACGACGTGCGAAAGAACCTGATATTGTTTGAAACGAACCCCTTCAAGCTTCTCAAGGGGGTGTTTGGTATGCTAACTTTCTGTACAGCTAGAATCTCTCCGTAGATCTCGTTTCTTATACTGTTGCTGCTACGGTGGGGATTCTTCTTCGATCTGGTGTTGCTTTAGTTCCTTTCTTTCATTTGTATTACTTAGCCAAACTAGTTTGGAACTGGATAATATTGGGCCTGTTTGGCCGCTTTTTTGGTGCGGCGCGGTGCCAACTTCGCGGCCGCACACTTGTTAAAGTTGGTAGAAAGCGGGCCGCGGGATCGACCCTTTCGCCCCGCTAACGCTCCCCGTAACGCTCCCCATCGTCTTTTGCCCTAGCGTCCCGCCTGGCGTCTTGCGTCTTCTTCTTCCTCAACCAAGAACGAAACCCGAACCAGGTAATCGTAAACCCTCTTCTTCGCTTGTTTTCAACCTCTTCTCAGCGGCTTTGATTCCGGGTTATAATGCTTGAGAGAAGGTCGAGCTCTTTGTCTGCTCATGGAAGGTAGCTTGATCCGTGAGCTTGTGAGGCACGAATGGAGAGTATTTTGGATAGCAAGTGGATAATTAGAGAATTTCATATTTTATTACGTGTAGTTTAGTCAAATACTGTAGTTTATTCAAAATGTTGCTAATATTAGTTTTTGTCAAGTGCAATTCGTCATTTCTTAAGTTCGATTTTGCATAGATGGTATTGTTTATTTATGAAATTTTGGCTATATTTACGCTGCAGTGATAATTTTGATGTTTTTTTTTTGTATTTCGACAATGTAGGGTATCTGCATTTTTTTTAATGAACTCTAGCATGGTAGCCAGTTTCAAATTGGCTTAGAAAATACGGTATTAGCAAGTTTCGGAAGGAGATATACAATCTGCTTCTGTGCCTAATTGGTTCGATGCTAATGTGATTAGGACACAGGAAATGATTTCTTATTGTAGCAGCTTTTGTTGTTATTTTGGTTTGCATGATGCTATAAAGATGTAATGGCGTGCGGATTATGGTAGGAGGCCAGTGGCATCCTTTTGTTGGCGATGGGAATATCTGTTAGGTGGTTGGACGGGGAGTTATGCTTGTTTTGATTTGCTTTTAGACAGTATCCCTTTACTTTTTTTGATTGATTTTTGTTAAAGGTGGAATGTTTTTTAATTTAATGAGCCACATTGCTTATGACGAAAGTTACTGAGTTATATTGATGATGATTCTAATATTATACAGTTCGTATCAATCATATACGCAAATTTTTCAGTAATTTATAAGAATTATGCTATATAGTAACCCTATATATAAAATATGCCTATACAGGGATAATTACAGAGCACCTTAATGAAAAAGGGTTATTGCTTTGTAAATATCACATAACATTTAAGCACCAAGTGCCATATTCTTCACATTTCACACACCTAAACTTCTATATTTAAATTAACACTTTAATGCATTACAAATTTAAATATTTAACTTCTAAGCTTGGTTTTTTGCACTTTCTTTATATTTGTTAGATGTACTATAATGGGCTCATTTTAGGTGATTTACGTATCACTTTTTCCTATTTTCTAATTGATTTTATTGTTGTGTTTTATTGCTTTGTTTTATTATAATAATAAAATGGATAATAAAGTTAAAGAGGTTGGTACACTGATATTGTGAGACTAAAAAATGAAAATAATATTTTGTGACCTTTGCCTTAAAGTGATTGAACTGAGAAATAGACCTACGACCTATTTCAATAAGAAATGGTGACAAAATATTTTCAAAAAATTCAAGGAATGGACGGGCAGGGAGTATGGTTGTTTACAAATAAAGAGAAGCTGAGATCAACTTAAGAATGATTGGAAAATTTGGAAACTAATAAGCGTTCCAATGCATTTTTGGGATGATTCTCTTCTGGTATTTCAGATTGCTTTTGTTGCTTTTGATCTCTTTGAGAATGAACATCAAGTGTTTCTTCTAAATGACATAATTCGCCTCTTCTTTTTAAGAAAAAAATAGTTAGCAATTTACTTTCCTCAAGATAGTCATATTGATCAGATAATGTTAAAATTGTAGATATCAATATGTTATGGTCCAAAAAGAAAAAAAAAACTGTATTGGCTTGTTCTTTTTCCTGCTTTTTTTTTTGTTCATGAACACAGGCTATTTATTATGCAATTTTGAATGTCTATGTTAGTTATTTGCAATTAAAGTATCATCGTCTTAGTCAGACATGCTCCTTGTTAATTAGCTTGAGATTAAAGTAATGTTTTTATTATATGAATGCTCATGGATTTTTTAATCTGCTCAAGGTTAGATTTCACAGGTAGAAACACGATTAATTTTGATAGATTAGTCACATATCTGAGATGACAAGTAAAACAGATGGACCTCAGGCAGATGGGGAAAGTTCTTATAACAATAGTTTCGGCCGAACATTCAAATACCTCATGGGTAAGTTTGCAACTTGTTTCATACGCCTTCATTCATGTTATTCTATTACTTTTGTTGATCTTTTGTTTCCTTGCATGCAAGTTCTTTTGCTCAAAATCTTTTGTTTTCTTATTTGGTTTTGCAGCAACTCAGTTTTTGTCAAGATTAATTCCATTTGTTTTCAATACGTGGATTGTGAGACACCTAACTGAATCTGACTATGCGGTAATAAGAAGCTGTTTTCTTAATCCAACTTATCATAATTGTGCGGCTTCTTTGGTTATTAACCAAACTAATAACAATGTATTTGTTAAATTTTTATGAAAAGAATGTTAGGATCTTTGATTAGTTCAAAGGAGGTTTTTTTTTTGGTTTTACATCATATTTCTCAAATTAAAAGTTTTGAGTCTTACGTGATTTAGTCTCACTAAGTCTTAAAAACCTTAAAATGTAAATGAATTGATTCATATGTATAGTTTTCTAAGAATTCACGGTCTCAATTTCATTGGTAAAACAAAATCACGTCACTGCAATTTTAAGTTGTTGCACAAACTTCATGTAATTCATTGCTTCTACCTTGAGATCCCATTCACCTCGGTACCCATTCTAAGTTAGTTTTATTTTTATTTATGGTGCATATATCATCCCATTTAAATAAACTATATGTCTATGGTATTGTTCTAGGGCTTCTAGAAGGTGTTTAAAAAGCGAATTTGACTGGGACGGGTGGGGAAATACTAAGATAATGAAATTATAGGTGATCAATGATATTTGGATGGAGATACGTGTCGTTCAACGCCTGTCCCTGCTGAAAACAACGAGATGAAACATGAAACGATGAGGTATGAGCAACGAGGAGGTTCACCACCTGCTCTTGAGCTAGATACAAACACATCATTTGCAAAAGGAATATGATATAACACTCTCCTAAATTAAGAAATAAAAAATTACAATATTCATAATACTCAAATGAAGGCAACATTCTCAAAAAATAGGACATAACAAAATACATATAGTTCCCTCATACAAAAAACCTAATTAGAAATAGTGAAATAGAAAATATATCGAAAGGAAAGAAAAATTGTGCGAAATTTTAAAAGTCAGCATCATCCTGCTTTGAACCCACGATCACGAGACTTCTCACAATCCCGTGGAATCGCATGATTCACGCACTTCATCGTTGAATTGTTGGATTCCCGCTATCGAAATCATGTGACCTTTGATCCGTGAACTTACGGGACACCCCGACCAGGCGACTCTTCCGGCGATTCTTCTTCTTCTCTAAGGTTTTTAGAATCAATCCACTACAATCATAACAAATATATTATCTTTCTTTGTTTGATGCAATCCCAGTATAAAATCTATGCTTACATTCATTTCATGCAACTCTTCATGCAACACTAAAACATGTACGTCCTTCCAAAGTTTGTCCGGATAAAATAAACATCCATCATTTTATGGCAAAAACATAGCTGAAACTGTACATAAAATGGGTATTCTTACAAATTAGGTCTTGAGCTATTAAATATGTATCCTTTTTCTCCTATTTGTATTTGGTCGAGCGTATTTGTAAAGAAGCATGTATGGCCTGGAATGAACTTTATGACATGTTGGACTGCCATCGGTGGAAACCACCCAGGAGGTAAATGGTTAGTCATGATATCTGAAAACTACTTCAATGGGGGTTGTCTCTTTTCAAGTATCGACTTCTTGTAATCACTACCTTACAAGACAATCAATGTTAATGCTGTTGTGATTTCTTGCTTGGGCTCAACTTTGAATCTCAAACATCTCTCCCTTGTCGGTTAGAGATTGAGACTCATCTTTGATGTCTTCATAATTTCCCGTGTCAGTATTAATCTCTTGAGTTGCTCTCTGCTCAGTGAAAGAAAGATATAGCCCTTCTATTTGGGGAATCAGACGCCACGTGACCAATATTATGATACTGGAAGCATTTGTTGCAGGTGATGAATTTGAGAGTGTTGGTGGGCTTCACCATTTCCACACTCCATATTAGTTCTTCTGGTGAGGTCAGCTTAGATGCTCCACTAGGTGTACTCTGACTGCCCGATCCGATGACTGAACTTTGTTTGAAGTGTCGTATGGATCTGATACTACTATGCAGTCTCTCTGCCATAATTGTTAGGATTTGGACATCTTGTAATATCCAAGAAGGCTGCAACTGTGCCAATTGCTAATAGATGATCTCAGTTCCCCTAGATATCGAGCTTTGGTGTTCTTCTTGTGATCTACTAGCCTACACTCCATAAGCTGTTCGAGCTCTCTTCTACTGAAATTTTTTTGTTGTAAGTGATGAAGTCTCAATAACATATCTTATTTGTAAGAAACTAGTAAATACTTGCATTGCATCTCTCATTTCATCTTGGACCAAAAAGTGATTTTATTTTTCTTTTCTCGTTGTCTAAGACGCTTCAGGTTCTTCTATCATGGTGATGCACTCTTGTTTAACTTGATGATGACGGACTTTATCATTATGTCTTGTGAAACATTCTTTTGCTCAGAAACATGTTATATTATTTACTCGTTTGGATTCATTCGTCTGTCCAAAATTCAAAAACTCAATCTTTACTCTAATGTATTTGACTCTCCTATGATATTCTATGCCAAATATTTGGGTTATTGTTTCTCTGTCACTAGAAATTTTCTGGTGGAAGGAAGTCACTATTCCTTCTCGATCCGAAGAATCTCCGTTGTGGCTATAGGTGATCTCATCGGATTTTCTTCTCTCAAATGTGTCAAGCCTCTAGTGCAGTTGGAGAATTTTTTGTTGTATATCTTTCATAGTAAGTTTCTGGACACATCATTGAGGGTTTCTTCTTGACGACTTGGCATCCTTTTCCCTCGACCAGGTTTCTGACGGAGGTAGGACTACAAAATAAGGTTGGTTGGGGGCTCAAATTTAGGTGGCAGGTGTCGGGGTGAAATTTTGCTAAGGTAGGAAATTTAAATTTTGAAAATTTTAGTTTTTGGTTTAGAAATTATGGTAGTGATGCTTAGGGTATTAAGTTGAACAATGATTTAAGCTATGTGGAATTTTGAGTAGGCGTAGGAATGACAAATCTCTAAAAATTTATGGTTTATTGAGCTCTGATATGAGATGATATTATGAAGTGGTAAGAGAATGAAAGTATGGGCGATCGACGATATTTGTAGAGGATCGGCGTCGTTCGGTGGGTCGTCCCTACTGAAAACAACGAAAAGAATCACTAAACGATGAGGTGCGGGATACAAGGAGGTTTATCACCTGATCTTGAGCAACATACAAGCACACCACTTGGAAAAAAGAGATGATACAATACTCCTAAATAAGAAAATAATCCTTAGAAATAAACCTAATTAAAAGTAGATAATTTGGAAAGAAATCAAAAAGGAAGAAAATATATTAAAAAATTTGCAAGTCAACACCCATCTGCTTTGAACGCATGATTGCGGGGCTTCTAATGATCCTTATGGAATCGTGGGATTCCCTCTTCACGTCATTGAATCGCAGGATTCTCGTGATCAGAATCATTGGGTCTCCGATCCTTGAATTTGCAAGATGCTCCCACATCATTCTTCCCGGCTAAAAAAAAGGATTCTTTTTCTTCTTTGGATGTTTCTGGAATTGATCTATCACCATACTAATTCATTGTGTTGTTGTGGCTGGGAAAGCCCCACTACAAAGTCTATTCTCACGTTCACCCAAGACAACTCTAAAACATATACGTCCTTCTAAAGTATTTCTCAATAGAATAATTAATCATCTTTTTTTCTTGGCACAGTCATAGTTGGAACTGCATCTGGGTTAGTACTCTCATGAACCAAATCTCTATCTCTTAAGTGTGTAGCCTGTTCTTTCCATTTATCATACTCAGCTGGTTGTATCTCATAGGCGAGTTGGTTTGACAAAAAATATCCTGAAATGAGATATGGTATGTTGTATTCTCTCGGTGATAGCCATCCATAAGGTAAACTTTCAATCAAGATATTCAACAACTCCTTCAACAGGGATTGCCCTTTTTATGATATCAACTCATTAGATTTACCACATTCTAGGATAACTAATGTTAATCCCGCTGGATTATCTCTCATGGGCTTAGTTTGAATCACTGGCATCTTTTTCTTATCTGCTTGCAAGTGGTACTCATCTTCTCCTCTTGTATGCTTTCACCCTTTGCCCCCTCCACTACATTTTGCTTCGTGAAAGATATCATTCTAGCAATCTGATGTAACCTACCCAAAATCGTAGCATTTCAATCACTTTCTAGCTAGGACAGATTCGAGTCTTCACTTTTTTCCTACTATGAACTGGGGTCGGCTTGGACGGTCCATGGGATGCACTATTGCTACCTGATTTGATGACTGAATCTAATTTTAAGGATGGTGTGAACCTAATACTGTTGTGTACTGGGCTATGATACCAGATGATACCGTTTTAGGGCTCCTAAAAGACGTTTGGAAAACGGATTTGACGGGGAGGTATGGAGAAATAGTAAGAAAATGAAAATATGGGCGATCAATGATATTTTGAGGGGGATAAGCGTTATTTGTCAGCTGTCCCTGCTTAAAACAACGAGAAGGATCATGAAATGATGAGTTACCAGCAACGAAGAGGTTCACCACCTGTTCCTGAGCGGGATACAAATGCATTACTTATAAAAGGAAGAGGATAGAACACTCCTAAATCAAGAAATCAGAAATTGCAATCGCCATGATGTTCAAAATAAAACAAATGTCCCAAAAAAATAGGAAATAATAGTATACCTATAGTTACCTTCTATAAAAATATAGCCAGAAATAACTAAAAAAGAAAGAAATGAAAAAGGAAGAAAAGTTATGCTAGAATTTGGACGTCGTGCCCTCCTGCTATCCCAAGATCGTGGGGCTTCTTATGATTCTGTGGAATTGCAGGATTCCTTCTTTGTTTCGCTGAATCTTAGGATTCTCAATATTGGACTCATGGGTCCTTCGCCATGAAATTACAAGACGATCCGGCATCACTTCAGTTTCTGCCTGCACATTAATTCATTTTTTATGAGCTTTTATGCACTTTGAGTGATTAACCGTCACATTGGAACTGATTGATTAACAAATGTTAGAAATTTTAGCTTAAATTGCCATCTTGAAATGTTTATTTCCTATAGCAAAGGAAAACGAGATTTTATTGGCATATTTGCTATAAAACTTTGGGTAGAAGTGGAGATTGAGGGTTATTGGCTTGCTTTCTAACTCTTCATAAAAAAAATGGCGACATCAAATAAATTCTTTTAATTTTCCATTTTCCTAAATTAGTACAACAATTCTTCTTATTTAAATTTTTTTGTAACACTTTTATTCCGAGTGAAAATTCAAATACTCAATATTGATTATTAGTTCTGGATTTTAAGATGCAGAGTTGTAAGATAAAGAATACGAGAAAATATCTTCATAGAATTAGATTAGGGCACTTAAAAGACAAATAAAATTACTTTTATGAGTAAACATCAATATTTTAAGATTTGAGATGTTCATGAAGAAGTGAATTCTATCTACGATAAGGTACCATACACTATTAAAAAGTGATAAAAGATGTACTTGAAGAATCGAAAAGAAATTTTTTTATAGTTTTTATAAATAAAAATAATTAGTGATAGTATACTAATGTGTAAGAAAAGATAAAATAGAAGAAATTGTGTTATAAAAATTGGTTTAAATATAAAAATTTGGAAAATTACAAAAATTATAAGGTGACCTATAGGGAGTCTAAGAGAACAATTTTGTGATGCTAAAAATTTTGTTTGTAGTGATCTTTATAATATATTAGATACTAAAGAGAATATAAATTATATGTATAAACTAGTCAAAAAAAGATAAAAGAAAAATTGTTTGTAGTGATCTTTATAATATATTAGATACTAGAGAGGATATAAATTATATGTATAAACTATTCAAACAAAGATAAAAGAAAAATAAAGATTTAATTTAAGTGGAGTATATTAAAGATGAAAATAGAAAAAGTGCTTTTCTTAGAGGAAAATATTCAATATAGGTGGGTGACTATTTTGATAAACTTTTCAATGAAGTTTCTAAAAATATGATCGATTTTAGTGATATTAATAACGTTAATAATAATAAAATATTTTATTTTTACTATCAAATTTATAAATAAGAATTTTAGAATGTTTTAAAGAAAATCAAGGGTGGAAAATCAGTAGGACCTTATGATATCCCTAGGACCTTTTGATATCCCCATTGAAATGTGGAAATATTTAAGAGATTTAAGAGCTTCTTGGCTTACTAAACTCTTTAATATTATTTTAAAAACTAAAAAGATGCTCGAGTGGAGGAAAAGACTATTTTGATCTCCTTCCATTTCAAAAATAAAGGATGCACAAGAGTGTGCGAATTATAAAGGAATTAAATTGATGTATGGGAGAGGGTAATTGAACATAGGTTAAAACGGTATTATAAAGATTTCTTATAACCAATTTGGATTTATGCCGGGCAGGTATACTATGAAAGCTATACATTTATTGAGAGGTTTGTGGAGAAGTACAGATAGAAGTTCATAGATAATAAGAAAGATCTACTTATGATTTTTATTGATTTAGAAAAGACTTACGATAAGGTGTAAGGTGCCAAGAGAAGTCCTTTGGAGAGTTTTAGAGAAGAAATGTGTTGATATGACTTATATTCCAATCATTAAAGATCTGTATACTAGAGTTGTTACTTGTGTTCAAACAGAAGGAAGATTGTCCAAGTATTTTTCCATGTAAGTTGGATTACATCAGGGATCAGATTTAAGCCCATATCTTTTTGCTTTAGTTATGGATGCTCTTACTGGACATTTACGGGAGGATGTACCTTGGTGCATGCTTTTCGCTGATAATATTCTTCTTGGGATAAGACTATAGAAAGAGTTCAGGAAAGACTTGAATTATGGTGGTACATTGGAGTCTAAAGACCTTCGTTTGTGTAGATCTAAAACTCAATACTTGGAATGTATTTTAGTAGTAGTAGCTCTAGTGGTAGAGTTATAACTTTAGGGAATCAAATCATTAAAAGGTGTGATCTTTTTAGATATCTCAAGTTTGTAGTTCAAGGTGATGGTGATATAGATGGGGATGTTGTTAGAATTCAAGCTGGTTGGTTGAAGTAGAGGTATGCATCAAGCCTATTGTGTGATAGAAAAGTAATGCTTAGATTGAAAGGAAAATTTTAAAAGTTGGTGTTGAAACCTGCAGTTGTTTATGGTGCAAAATGTTGGCCACCTTTAAAAGGGAAGTATAAGACAAAGTTAAGTATTGCTGAGATGAGAATGCTTAAGTGGATGAGTGGTTTGACACTTAGAGACAAAATGCGAAATGAATATATCCGTGATATAGTTGGTGTAGCTCCAATTGCGGACAAGATTAGAGAGAGTCATCTTAGAAGGTTTGGTCACATTAAATGCCTACCATTTGATGATCCTGTTAGGAGATTAGATGTTTTAGATTCGATTTATGTTAAGAAGCAGAGGTAGACCTAAAAAGACTTGGGCAAATTGTATAAAAAATGATCTTAATCTTTAGAATTAAATGAAAATATGACACTCAATAGGACGTAATGGAGAAAAAAGATTCATTTAGCCAACCATATTTGGTGGGGTAAAGGCTTCTTGTTGTTGTTGCTGTAACAAAAACTTTTATTCCTCAATCTTGTATTCTTTTGTTTGGTTGTTCACCGTTAAGCGATCCTTACAATGATAATTGATTCATTGTAGCTGAACTTTTATTCAATCAAGCCTCGAAAATAATCCTTTGTTGCAAACTAAGAATTATTTCCTTTCCCCCTCTTTGCATTCCTGTTTTCTTCTGATTTTTCTGATGTCTGATTTTTCTTGTATTTCTCTTTCCATCCAATGTTTTTAATTTGGTTGTATATTTTTTTCAGGTTTACTAATTTTTTAAATTTTATTTTTACAGCTTTATGCAGTAAAGTTTCATCTTTTAACTACATGTATCCTGTTTCTAAGTCGGGAGGGCTTTCGCCGTGCTTGCATGCGAATAGATATAAAATGGTGATTCTTTCTAATCCAATTCCTATGTAGATATAATTTTTCAGACAATGCTTACTGTTGTAGAACTTCCCTATTATTGCATATCCGTGCTGCAAATTCACCTCCCCAACAACTTCCCAAACAACCCGAAAGACAAAAAAGTTTGCTCGCTCTTTTGTTGGATAACTAGTGCTGCGAAGTTGTTCATGCAAAAAGGAAAAAAAAGAAAAAAAAAAGAACTTTATGTGAAATCACTTCTGCTTTTAATTTCCCTTTAATATTTTGGAAAGTTTTTATCTAATACGTTTGCGTTTAGAATCTTACTGTGCAAGTGCTGCACTTTATTTCTTGGTAGAAAAGTGTCTGAAGTATTATTCTTTTGTTCTGGCAATTACTGTACGCCACATTTTCTGAAAATATGTAGAATGTTTGGGCAGAGGTTAAGTAATTTTCCTTCTTGCATTACTTTTTCTTCCTTCATTACCCGTAAGCCATTATTTTATGAAAATATGTAGAAAGTTTTGGCAGAGGTTAAATAATTTTATCACCTGTATGACAAATGCCTGTTGTAGAATATTTCCTTGGCTTTAATAGATTTCATATTAACCATTTTCTATGTTGCAGTGTTGGAAGAATGGATGAAAATGTAACAAGGTTGCTGAAAGTGGCCTGGCTGACTATTCCTTTTGGCTTCCTTTTTGCTTCTGCTCTATGCAGCCTTTTCTTCTGGATTGAGAAGCTTTCTTTTCAGGATGCTATTTCCGATCCAATTGCATTGGCCATACTGATAAATGGTAATTTCATTTTGAACCACATGCTGCAGTAGTATAAATCCTATTAAATGCATGCATGATTTTTCTGCCATAGCACAAAATTTATGTAAGCTAGCAGATTTATTTAGACTGTTGGTTAGGATTATTTCCCGTTAGATATTTGAAGGTAAAAACTCCTAAATTTTTTCTGCTTTCAATATTTTAAGATCGTAAATTTAATTTTTAACTGCAATTTGGGAATCATTGGAAAGCTTTACCTACCAAATCTAGAAACGTCTTTTACTGATGCTGCTCTTTATCTTAAACAAAGTATAAAAAGACTCTCAAATATCTCGAATTGTACTTCTATTGCTTTTGTGGTGATTCTTTCATGGTTGCAATCGTCAACAAAGAAAAATGATTGTTTGTTAATGCTGATCTTGATCAAATTACATAGCTATTATGTATGTGAAGTACTGTTAAGTTTTTTTCTTTGTGGGTTGTGCAATTAGCATTCTGTTTGCTAGCGCTGATGAAATTATTCTGTATGTTAACTGTTGTTGGCTTTCCTTGCATGAAGTTGGATAGAGAGTTATTTTATTTCTCTGGAAGTGATTGGAAGTGTTTTTGTTCCGGTGTTCCATTTTCATCCTTATTTATTTTTTTTAGTTTAGACTATATTTTCTACCTGCAAATTAGTGCTTATTCAGTTTCAACAAACTGTCAGGAATTGCTTGTATATTGGAGCTATTGGGAGAGCCATTGTATATACTTTCACAGAATCTACTACTTCTAAGATTAAGGTTGATGATTGAAACTGTTGCAACTATTGTTCGATGTGTGACGACTTGCACTCTAATGTTCCGAAGCACATTCACGGTAAAAATCTATCTACTTGCACTTTTTAAGAAACATGTTCTGAATAAAGTGAAATTTTAGGGGACGCATCCCAAGATTTCTAAAGCTTTCTCCATTGTGCCTTGTTGAATCATTCTGATTTTTGAAAATGAAATAATGAAATTTTTACATTAGCCAGTTGTTCACGTGAAGCCATGTTTCCTTCCTAAACTATAACTAAGCCATGTTTCTCTCCTAAAAATGGTTAGTTTATAATGTTCGTCCGCATTTCCTTTGTTACTCGTACTTATGTTATATAGGGTAGTTGACATTCAGCAGGCTTCAGGTGTAATGGTTACGTACTGTTCTTTTCATTGTCTCAAAGAATTGTTTTAATTTTCTTATCATACCACGAAGTTTGTTATATACATGAGGTCTAGTTTCCATGCCTTGTATTTTTATTTTTCTTCTTTTGATAGGATGATGCCTGGTCTTTTTCTTATGAAACGTTTCTGGCACAAAATAAACTTAATATATCACTCTAATTCTAACTTGGCCATGAAAGTTCTTCATTGCACTAATGTCTATGGGCAGCTGGGAATTTTGTTTATTAGTGATATGCATATCATTTTTTTTCTTTCAGGAAATGGCAATCATTTTTGCTGTCTCCCAGGCTTCATATGGTGCTTGCGTAGCTTTGGGATATTGGATTTATTTCCTTTCATTTCGGATTGTAAGAAGCAGTTATCTATTCCCTTTTAGGTAACTAGCTGGTATTCTTTTCTCGTTATCCTTTACATTTATTTTGTAAGTTTTTAATCTGCACATATTATCTGCTTTTTCAATATCCGCATATTTTACCTGAGCAAAAACCTCTAAAATTAATTTGAAACATAAAAAGCATATTGCCATATTGTTTTTCAGGTTATGCAACAATCTTGAATATGATAAACAGTTGCGTTACATGTGCCTTTTACTTACTGGTCAAGCTTCATGGAAATTGTTACTTCAGGAAGGAGAAAAGATGGTACTTATGTGGTTTGATTCATCTTACAATCAAGCTATCTATGGCCTAGTGGACAAATTAGGCATGTATCTTATGTGCGCTTTTTCTTATCCTTGTGAGATTTCTTATATTTTGGTTGAAACTTTTGTTTATTGACAAAGATTTTCTTGTTTTGCCATCTCAGGAGGCTTAGTTGCTAGATTGGTTTTTAATCCTTTCGAGGAAAGCTCATATGCCACGTTTGCAAAGGTGGCATCAGGTTGGGATTTTTTGAAGAATTGTTGTACCTAACATGTTCTAACAAATCTAGACTAAGGTGCCATTTGCATCATCCTAAGTTACGACATTTTGAAAGTCCCAACTGAAGTCATCTTTTTCTGCTTGATATTGGAAGTTGTTATCATGTCATCATCATGGGGAGGTTTTGAGTCTGACCTTTTCAATTTTTTTTAAACAACTTGTATTCATATTGCTTCTTTTTGGTCTACTTTTTTCTTTCTTTTTCCTTCATTTTATCCACCCATGTATGTTTGACAAAAGAATAATCTTATATTCATTTCATGGACATTGAGCTGGCATTTGGGTTGAGCAATGCATCATGGAAGCTTGGAACTACCTTTATTAACTTCTGGATTTTTAGAGTGCATTTTTTCTCTTTCTTTAAACAAATCTATGGAAATCTTGGAGGATTGGCCTCCTATTCATTAAGGACCTAGGCCGACCATCCAAGGAGTGATGGATGGATTAATTGGAGACAATTTGGTAAACTCCTTGATTAATTTTTATTCTCTTCCTATTTATGTTTATTTTAGAATTATTTCCTTTCCATGTTTAGGTGAGGTATATTTGGTAATAATGTAAATTAAGTGAGACTGATTTCTCTATATATGTAGCCTTTTATGGTTGAAGATTGGTAATGATAATTGAATATTCCCTCACATTTTTTTTTCATGGTATTAGATCCCTAGGTATGACTTGTCTCGCCTGCTCTTTGGTTCGGCGCGTTCGAATATTTCGAGGACCACCGTTTGCATCGTCCACGTTATTGTTCGAATCGGTCCCACATTTGCACTTTCTACGTCGCAGTCTTTGGACAAAGCAATCGTGCATGGGACCGAAGGGATCAAAGCATTTGACTTTTGCTTTGTCTTCATGCTTCAACATTGGTCGTTCGTTTGCTGTCAATCGAGGTCGAGCCTTCTGACATCTGTTTTTTGAAGACTTTAAAGCCTTTGGATTTTTTCAACCGCCGCACCGAGTCTACAAGCCTTCCTTTGCTCGATTCTACAGCCGTCAGAGCCTCTCGAACAACCGTCCAACAACTGGAATCCTTCCTGCAACCGCTAGAATACCTCAACCAACCTGCAGATCCACTTATGCTCCTTATCATAACCATTTGACTTCTGCAGTTGCAACCTCCATTCTTACAACAATCAAAAGTCAACTCCCTTATTCAACCCTAAATACGCATAGGTTTTATGACTAATTACATGATGAAGATGCCTATTTCTACTTCGGAAGTTATTTTTGAATAAGAAATCATGAATTTTGTCCAAACAGTCCCGAAACTCTCTTCTTTTTATCGTAAACCATAAACTTCAATGGCCCCAATCCGTGTTTGTGTACATTTGTTGGAAAGGAAAAGAGGAACACTCTACGGGAGAGAGCACAATTTTTGAGCTCGCTAATCTTAACCATCAGACATTGAAATTTCAATACCATATGGCCTTGTCTTGACTAGTCAACTTAATGACCGCTGAAGTAGGAGAAAATTTCATGCTCAACAAAACAACCTAAGAATCTGGGAAGCTATAAGAGAAATTTATTCCAACACTGAGAGTGCTTCAGAGTTGTTTGAGATCGAAATCAAACTACATGATCTTTGTCAAGGAGAACTGAGTAACAACAACAACAACAACAACAAAGCCTTAATCCCACTACGTGGGGTCGGCTACATGAATCCTTTTTCTTCATTGCGTCCTATTTAGTGTTAGCTACAATTGGATATGTTTTTGACATATGTGTGGAAATATCCACATGATGTTGTGATGTATAAATTCATAATTGAGGAGAAGAGAATTTTCAAATTTCTAGCGGGACTAAGGAATTGGTTGAAGTGAGAGGGAGGATCGTGTCTTCTATCTACTCGTGAAGCTTTTTGTGATAACTCAAAAAAAAAAAAGAAAAAAACAAATAGAAACAAGTGTATGTTAGGAGAGACACATCTCTTCGCATGGATTAAATCGTTCGTCCCAACTTACGAATAAAGGAGAATAAAGTGAGCATGAAGAAAAAAACGAGAGATAGAAGCAATGACAAAGAAGAGTTGGGTGCAACTTGAAGGAGAAAAGTTGAACTGAGAAGAAGAAAAAGAAACAAAGATCTAGAAATGGAGGAGGAAGAGTCGAGTGCTTCACTTACCCTGAAGCTTTGAAGGCGATCAACATCGAGGCAGTAAGGACGAACCCTAGCTACGACATGAGACATCGTCATTGCGAGAGAGTCTAACCCTTGTTGAGCGAGATCGAAGAAGGAGAAGTGGAAGACGCGCGCGCTGGAACGGGAGCCGATCCTACCCTGCGGGACAAGGTTCATTTGAGCTTTAGGGTTAGCCAAAGGTTATATCAGGTAAGTTAAGATTTTAATTTAGTTAATTAAGAAAGTTGTGTATATATACATATTTATTAAATTAATGCTAATAGAAAGTTTGATTTTTATTAGGAGTGGAGCTATTAAGTCCTGAATTTGAGGGAGCATCGATATGCAAATTTTTGTACAAGAGAAGAGGACGAATCGAGGGCATAAAGTGGAGAACTGAAACCTATCAAAACCCTATTTTGCGAGTTGAGGTAATTTTAGTATTAGAATTGTTTATTATAATTTTATAAACATTAAATTGAAATATAATTAATATGTTAATATGAAATTATATTTATTGTGGTTAGGGAGCCTAGCATGAAAACATTGCATGCGAGTAAGGGAGGAGATTGATCTGGAAGCTAGAAGGCAAATGTTAAGGATTATATTATTATTAGAATTAATGATATGCTTATTTAAATTATTGTTTTAAAACTTATTGAATTAGAAAGTGTGAACGAAGGCTCTTTAGAATTAAGATCGGTAAAAGATTGACGATACAATTTAGTGGAGGATTAAGCAAATAAAGAGAGCTACTAAAGATTGAGGTGTGTAAATATATTTCTGAATTTAAATATTTTTCATCATTTCTATTTTGTTTATTTTACTTCATCTATGTTCTATTTCAGTTTGATTTATATTATAGTAGATTCTTCATATTGTTCAATAGGATAAATATGCATGTTAAATAATTGCATCATGAAATTAAATCACAAATAATTTTTCATATGATTAGTCATGATATATGTGTGTTAAATGTTGTTGTCTTAATAGTTGCATAAAGTTTAGTTTATGAAGATATCAGATTACTACATGATCTGTATTTCCTAATAAAGATGTATATGCTAGGTCATTGTATGACTAGATATATATGTCAGATTGTGATTTGATCTTTAGAACTAGGGTAAAACTTCATCTTTTAGATTATCATATGACCTTAGATTTTAGTAGAGTTGCATGAGTTTTAGTAAATAAATACAAGTTTTACATGAAAGTAACGTATGCTTTGAAGTTTAAAACGAAAATATGATATACATGAATGCTTGTATGTGCATGTTAGAGGAGTTTACCCCATAATTGTACAGGCAAGGGAAGCCAGTGTACCCGCATGCGTAGAGATTTTTCTACCACCCCAACTAATTGTGATAGTTTGTTCATTTATCGTTGTGCCGATGAGATAATATCGACTAGAGGCGAGTAGATAAAACTTACCACTCTAGACAATTGTGATATATAAATTACTAATCGCTATGCTGATGGGAAAATATCGGTTAGCGGTAGGTTAGGGCCTTTTCACCTTAGACAATTATGATGTTTTTATCATTAACTTAGTTGTTTTAATTGTGATCTTCAAAGCAAATAGATGTGTATGTACAGAGTATAAAGTAAAATTAAAGTTAAAATTAATGCATATAAAAATTTAGAGTAATTTTCATTTAACAAAAGTCATTGATGCATGCATTAGTATTTTTAAAGATTTCTTATGAAAGATTAACATAGTAAAATATTTCTTATAGAGATATAAAAGACTATCATGCAATTGATTTTTTTTTCTCGGATTACTGTAGTTTAGAAGTGTGATTGCTCCAGGATTATGTATATAACTCATTATATTGTTTTAATATTGTTAAGGTTTTAAGCTTTTGATAAGAGAATCAATTGGGCAAAGGAGGCGAGAAAAGCAATTGAAAATGTACAAATTTCTACTTATTATCTAAATTTGCTTTCTATATTTGATCTTTCATGAATATTTGAATATTTATTTATTAGTGATATAAATAGAAAAACATAGAATTTATTTTCACAATTCGATTGATCGTTTCCGTCTTGGTTATTTCCAAGCCCCGGGCTAGGTTTTGGCACTTTTGCTAATGTTATTAGAAGAAGTGATAGAAAGAAGCTTATGATGACTGGAAATGAGAGATCACTAAATGCTTAAAAACTCAACTCTGTACTCATAAATTTTTCCATGACTCAGACTTCAAGAATAATCGTCTCACATGTGACTAAGCAAACAACAAAGCCTTAATCCCACTACGTGGGGTTGGCTGCATGAATTTTTTTTCTCCATTGCGTTCTATTTAGTGTCATATTTTCATTTAGTTCTAATAAATTAAGATCATTTTTTATACAATAAGCTCAAGTCTTCCTAGGTCTACCCCTGCCTTTCTTTACATAAGTCTAATCTAAAACATCTACTCTCCTAATCGGATCATCAGATGGTCGACATTTAATGTGAGCAAACCATCTAAGAGGTCTCTCTTTAATTTTGTCCGTCACTAGAGCTACACCGACTATCACAGATATATTATTTCGAATTTTATCTCTAAGTGTAAAGCCACTTATCCACCTAATCATTCTCATCTCAGCAACACTTACTAAACACTTAACTTAGTATTATTCTTCTCTTTTAAAGGCCAACTTTCAACGCCATAGAACATTGCAGGTCTCACAACCATCTTATAAAATTTTCCTTTCAGTCTAAGCAATACTTTTCTATCACATAAAAGGCCCGAAGCAGTCCTTCACTTTAACCAACCAACCTGAATTCTTCTATTACTTTGAACAACAGACCCGAAATATCTAAATCATTCACACCTTTTAATAATTTGATCGCCCAAA